AGAGGTTTTCGCTCTCCAGACAGACAGACAGAGACAGAGAGACAGAAAGCGAGAAATCACCCCCCAGGGGGGATGGCCACACCACAATCCCCTCTCCTCCATTCTCCTCTTGGGATCTTGGGCACACACGCACACGCGTCTGGCGTGAATTTAAGCTACTGGGTCCGGGACGCGAACTGCGGTCGACTACGTGGGAGTCCAGCGAATCACCCGGCCAGAGGCCCATATAAAACAAAACCCTTTTTGCAAATGAATGCCGCTGCTTGCTTTTCGGTGTTCAGTGTTTTTGGCCCGATGTCATTTTAAAAAAAAGACTTATTCTTAAATTTAATTTATTGTTTTTACTTTTTAAAATTTTGCTATAGGACATGTGCATGAGAGAGAGAAAGTGAGAAAGCAAGCCACCAGGTCTGGGACTCGAACTGTGGTCAGCCATGTGAGAGTCCAGCCCCTTAATCACCGTGCCACCTGCCAGCCCCTGGTCCCTAAGTCTGTCATCCCTTTCTGTGGTCATTGCTGTGCCACCACCCTGCCGTGGAGCTTGCGCTCCCTGTGGCCACCCCCAGCCTCATCCCAGCACCAGGGTCCCGGGTCCCTCCTCTACCAGCAGAGCCGCAGGTGGGGCTACCCCCAGGGGAGCGGACGGGCCCTCCAGGGGCTGAAAGGGGCATGCCGGCTGTGCCCGCATTTGTCAGGTAGGTGGAGAGATGACAGAACAAAAGCGCCTACAGAAAGGGGAGTCCTCAAGTTGAGAAGGGCCCTGGCCAGGCTTGGGGGGGGAGGGATGCCAGTGACGCCAGGTACGGGTCGTTGGTGACTGGCCTTCCTGGGTGAGCACCACAGCCAGGACCTTCCCCGCCCTCCTCTCTGACTCGCAGAGACCCGGGAGGCCAGTCGGCTGCCAGAGCGTCGGTCGTAGTGGGCCAACCGGTCACTGGCCAGTTCTGCTCGGACAGCTGCTCCGATACGTGTAGTCGGCAAGAACGAAATCGAGGGGTGCCAGATTCAATGAAAGGAGCCCCTACTGGCGTCCAGGCTGCGTCCAGTTCTGAGTTATTTTTTTGAAGAGAACGAGTCATTTGAGAGTTTCCTGTTCCCTAAAATGTCCCCAGGAACTTTGTAACCGGCTCCGTAACACATCTCCTAAGCCCTAAGCAGCTGCAAAATTGATTCATAAAGCTTGTTTTTCTTTTTGTGTTTTTAAAAAAGAACAAAATGTAAACCAGGTTGCAGAGCCCTTGTGACATGATCCAGCGGGCGGGAGCCGTGGCGCCTTGGCCCACGCTGTCTGCCCAAGGTCGCGGCGACATAGCTGGGCTTGGGGCAGCCGGTTCCCTGCCATGTTCCAGGGTGTTCCAAAGACGCTCGCCGTGCCAAATTACCAGGTTGCGCCATGCGGTGGGAGGGCTCCCGGCAGGAATAAGGATGCGGCTGCTCCCGGCAGACTGCTCCTCAGGAGGAAGGCGCCGCCAGGGCCCGGAAGTCTTGGCTCCAGCGCCCGTCTCTCTGGGAAGGGTCAGGTTAGGGTTGGGAGGGCCAGCAGGCAGAGCGTCCCGGAGGACAGCTTGTGGCCTGTTCTGAACTGACCGCCAAACAGAAATCAGACCTTGGGGCCGGCAGGTGGCGTGGTGGTTAAGGGCGCTGGACTCCCACCCTGCTGACCGCAATTCGAGTCATGGACCTGGAGGCTTGCTTTCTCACTTTCCCTCTCTCTCTTGCCCTGTCCCTCTCTGGTCAAATTGAAATAAACAAATTTAAAAACAAAACTAAACTAAACTAAAATCAGACCGTAATTCTCACCTACAGACATTTTTTTTTTTTGAGAGGTTTTTGCTATAGAGCACGTGCGCTCACCAGAAGGACAGAGAGAGACAGAGATAGAGAGATAGAAGGTGAGAAATCACCCCCCAGGGGAGATGGCCACGCCACAATCCTTCCTCCATTCTCCTTTCGGGATCTTAGGCACGCACGCACACGCACCGGCGTGAGTTTAAGTCACCAGGGCTGGGACTCGAACCATGGTCGGCTACATGGGAGTCCAGCGACATAACCATTACACCAACTGCTGGTCCCTCACCTGCAGATATTCTGAGGCTACTCTACTTTCAAGGCGAAAATACTGCTGTTGACTTAGGAATGTCCCCTGAACGCCTTCAGAGCTGGGGAGCCCCACTTCTGCCTGTGTGTAGGGAGAAGCAGCAGGTGCGGTGGGTGCAGGGGAGGCGCGGCCTGTGGGCCTCAGCCCAGGTGCAGGTGTGGGTTCCAGGGGCTTCTCCATCCTCTCTGGCAGTTGCCACCGGAGTTAGGCATGGCCAGTGATGCGCTTCGCCACAGCCTCACGCGACCGTGTGGGAGTTTTGCTTATAAGAAGCCACGATCAGAGACTCTCAGAGCAGCCCACACCCCCCACCGGCCTCACCACAGCCAGGGGTGATCCACGCTGGGCCAGATTAGGCCGAGGTCTAGGCAGCCCTCCAGGCTGTCCACCGTCATGTCCCTGGACTACACGTGACCCGGAAAGCCTGCTGCTGGCCTTCCCCCCCACCCGGGCCTTGTCCCCTCCACATCCTGTGCACACCCCCTCCAGGGGGCACCAGCTCAGACCCAGCACCCAGCAGGCGGGGCCCCCAGCCACCAGGCTCCGCCCACTTACCTATTTCAGAAACACTGGAATGTCCAACTTCCTGAATCCCATTGCTTAACAGAGATTCGCTTTTAATGTCTGAGTATTCTCATCAGAGTGGGGCTGGGAGGTGCGGAAGAGGGTGCCGCCCAGAAGCGCACGCACGCGCACACACACGGCCCTTTGAGCCTCGGACATTCCTAAGGACCTCCCTGACCATGCTGTCCGGAATCCTCCGCGATGGTTAAGCCGAGAATTTCGGTGAATATTTCTGCGGTGATTTCATCTGGAAGTTCTTCTTCGAGGCAAAGTTCTAAACCTGGCCAGACAAGCAAAGAAAATCAAATGCCTTCGCTGTGATGAGGTTTCCCAGCTCAGTAGGATTTTCCAGAAACACATGGAAACGGTACTAAACAAAAGCGAGAGGTGCTTTGAGCTGCGGTTGGCCTCGACTGCTTGAAAACCCGGGGCTGGAAACTGGCGAAAGCCTCTCCCCTTGCTGCTAACCGACTCTGGGCAGACCTCACCGGGAAGCCTCAACCGTGTGGTACAGTTGAGCTCATGTTTGGGGTTCCTAGAAACACCATGCACACATGCAACCACGGGGAAAGATACGCAGAGGCCAGGATCCGGGGGACACAGAGCAATGGGTAGGGGAGCAAGCAGGTGGGGAAGACCCATCAGACACGAGAGTCCAGAATTAATCCAAGTCCAGAAGCTTCGTCTGACAGAACATCAGGAAAGGACCCTGCGATGGGGGAGGACACAGCGAGGGGGCTTTGCACCTGACCCTAGGCTTGGAACAGGGTGCTCCGGCCACCCGGACTCTCAGTAAAGATGGATGTCCCAGCACCCGCAGGCCCAGAAGAGCTGTTTAGATTGGTTCCTCCCGAGCTTTTTTTTTTTTTTTTAAAGAACTATTTATTTCCATTTGCTATTATTATTTTAAAATTTTGATCAGAAAGAGACAGAGAGAAAGAGAAAGGGTGAGAAAGCAAGTCGTCAGGTCTGATACTTGAACCGTGGTCGGCCACGTGGGAGTCCAGCACCTTAACCACCACGCAACCTGCCAGCCCCAGCCTCCTGAGTTTAACCGCACCACCCTAACTTCCAGTCCAGTGGACTGAAAGAAGGTGAAAAGGCCTTTGGCTATAGCAGGAAGAGAGAGGACAAGGTCTGTGTGTGTGTGTGTGTGTGTGTGTGTATGCACACACACGTGCTGGGGGCATATGCACTCGCCAGAGAGAGACAGAGACAGAGAGAAAAGGAGAGGGTGAAGCATCCCCCATGGGTGTGGGATGCTGCAATCCCCTCTCTTCCATCTTTGTCCACTTTGGGGATTTTGTGCACAAACATGCACACCCGCTGTGCCTCTCAAGCTGCTGAGTCCGGGACTCGAACTGTACAATTAGCTGCCTCACCACCAGGCCACAGAGCCAGCCTGGCAGATGATCCTCATAAACTCGACCGTCTGGCAGCTCATGCCGGGCTGTGCTGCCTGGTATGCTGTCACCCCCTCCATGCCTCTGCTGTGAATGGTGGCTGCACTGTGTCCCCTTCCAGAGGCCAGCAGCCCCTCCCACATGCTGGAAAGATGAAGGACTTGTCAGCGGAACAAGGGAAACAAGGCTGTGGGACACGAAGGGACAAGCAGAGCGTGGGAACCAACGCCTCATCACTGTCACCGTCACCATCACCACCATCACCACCGCTTGCTCACTGTCCTCTTCACAAGTTACTCACTTGGGAATCCTGAAGGGCTGACCTGGCTTGGGGAGGCCGGGGGAGAGGGGCTCGCACCATCAGAAGTAAGTGCACTTGGGACCAGCAGTTGGCACAATGGCTAGCTACATCGCTGGACTTCACTGTAGTCAAGCACGGTTCGAGTCCTGGACCCGGTGACTTAAACTCATGCTGGGTGCGTGTGTGTGTGTGTGCATGCCCAAGAACCTGAGAGGAGGATGGAGGAGAAGGGATTGTGGCGTGGCCATCCCTCCTGGGGGGGGATTTCTCGATTTCTGTCGCTCTGTCCTTCTGGCGAGCGCATGCGCCCTATAGCAAAAACCTCTCAAAAAAAAAAAAAAGGAGTAGTAGTAGTAGAAGTAGAAGAAGTAGTAGTAGAAGTAGACATAGAAGAAGTAGTAGTAGAAGTAGTAGTAGTAGTAGAAGTAGAAGTAGAAGTAGTAGTAGTAGAAGTAGAAGTAGTAGTAATAGTAGTAGAAGTAGAAGTAGTAGTAGTAGAAGTAGAAGTAGAAGTAGTAGTAGTAGTAGAAGTAGTAGTAGTAGTAGAAGTAGAAGTAGAAGTAGTAGTAGTAGAAGTAGAAGTAGTAGTAATAGTAGTAGAAGTAGAAGTAGTAGTAGTAGAAGTAGAAGTAGAAGTAGTAGTAGTAGTAGAAGTAGTAGTAGTAGTAGAAGTAGAAGTAGAAGTAGTAGTAGTAGAAGTAGAAGTAGTAGTAATAGTAGTAGAAGTAGAAGTAGTAGTAGTAGAAGTAGAAGTAGAAGTAGTAGTAGTAGTAGAAGTAGTAGTAGTAGTAGAAGTAGAAGTAGAAGTAGTAGTAGTAGAAGTAGAAGTAGTAGTAATAGTAGTAGAAGTAGAAGTAGTAGTAGTAGAAGTAGAAGTAGAAGTAGTAGTAGTAGTAGAAGTAGTAGTAGTAGTAGAAGTAGAAGTAGAAGTAGTAGTAGTAGAAGTAGAAGTAGTAGTAATAGTAGTAGAAGTAGAAGTAGTAGTAGTAGAAGTAGAAGTAGAAGTAGTAGTAGTAGTAGAAGTAGAAGTAGTAGTAGTAGTAGTAGAAGTAGAAGTAGTAGTAGTAGAAGTAGAAGTAGAAGTAGTAGTAGTAGTAGTAGAAGTAGAAGTAGTAGTAGTAGAAGTAGAAGTAGTAGTAATAGTAGTAGAAGTAGAAGTAGTAGTAGTAGAAGTAGAAGTAGAAGTAGTAGTAGTAGTAGAAGTAGAAGTAGTAGTAGTAGAAGTAGAAGTAGAAGTAGTAGTAGTAGAAGTAGAAGTAGTAGTAGTAGTAGAAGTAGTAGTAGTAGTAGTAGAAGTAGTAGAAGTAGTAGAAGTAGTAGTAGTAGTAGAAGTAGAAGTAGTAGTAGTAGAAGTAGAAGTAGTAGTA